TTTTTTGTTAAGGGTTTTTTTTTTTTTTTTTTTTTTTTTTTAGCTTTTGCATTTTGTGATCTTTATGTGCATCACTGATAAGACCACGTCTCATTTTTGAAACGCAACATTTCTCTTCAGCCTTTCCAAACTCTTTCTTCCCAAAATTTTTCGCCCTTGTTCTATTAAATTAGTTGTTGTAGATTTTCCAAAAGAGCTATGGGAGATCTATTTGCGTGGCTAATATCATTTTTTTTTTGTGCTTGCTGTCGGCTAAAACGGTTATGGGAAGACAACGTTAGATACCTACGTTGATTTTCTTCGGTGCATATTTGATGGAGGAAATAAAAGTCTAAACAATTCAGAAATTCTACATATAGTCTTCACCTTATCGCCACATAATTTTATTATTTCTAGAAAAAAATGTTGGTGATTAGTTTAAGAATAGGCAATCTTGCGAAAGAAAGAGAAAGCACGAGAATCCTCAACTGAAAAGTCTGATGCATGAAATGCAACCTCATTCTGCACTTCATTCTGATCAACGTTTAAGGACCTTCAGTTTAACAAGTTTATATTTAGTAGTGCTTATGCTATATGTTTTTTGTGCTTTTATTTGTTTTAATTTTTCATCTCATTTATATTTTTGGTGCCCGTATTTGTTTTAGCTTTGATCTCAATTTTGGTAAACAATATGTATTAAGATTTTGTAGGAAAAAAATCTCCAAACAGTGCGGAGAGATGGCACCATCTCTCCGCATTATACGGAGTCAGCAGTTGGGAGAGATCAGTTGATCTCTCCGAACTATACGAAGAGAATTTTTTTAGCAGTTGTTTGAGAGTACTTGTAATAAACTAAATTTGATCATTTTTTTATATATAATTATGTTAGTTTAATAATATAGAATTTTTTTTTTTTACTTACAACTCCCTTTTTCAGGTTGTTTTTTTCTTTCTTTTTTTGTGCTTGTATTTGTTGTAATTTTTTTATCTCCAGTTCCTAGATCCAAATGCTATATATTAATGGCCTTTTTTTTTCAAAAAATAAAATAAAATAAAAAAATCTCCGAACAGTGTGTGGTGCCATCTCTCCGCACTGTATGGAGTGTGGAGGGAAGAGTGTTCTCTCCGCACAGTTCGTATAGATCAATTAATCTCTACAAACTATTCGGAGAGATTTTTTTTGTGGGATACTCAAAACTATTCATAACTATCTTTCTGAAAATTCAAAATTTATTCCCATTGATTGAGTTTTTCGATTTTTTATGCATGTTTGTTTTCTATTCAATTTAAGTGAAAATTGCAGTTGTGTACTTCTAACAATTATGCTTTTTATGTCCTTTCTGATTTATGAATACAAAACATGCTACAATCTAATATATGCACACAGAAAGTTGACTTAAAGCATGCTTGGGAGTGATTATAAATTGCGGCTTTACAAAATGTGTGGGTAAAAGTATGTTTAACCAACTCTTCGCACTGTGCGGAGAGAAAAACCAAACTATTCGCACTGTGCGGAGAGATGGTTTGCCTTTGATATATAATATATATGTATACATTCAAACAAATAAAAAGGCTTAACAAAAAACAAAAGAAGAAGAAAATCTCTCTGCATTGTGTGGAGAAATTAATTGATCTCTCTGAACTGTGCGGAGGAGAGATCAACTCTCTTAGCACAGTGCAGAGAAAAAAATCAAACTCTCCGTACTGTGCGAAGAGAAAAGCAAAAACTCTCCGCACTGTGCGGAAAGATGGTTTGTCTTTGATATATAATATATATATATATATATATATATGTATACATTCCTACATAAGAAACAAATAAAATAGTTTAAAAAAAATCTCTCCACATTGTGCGGAGAGAGTTGATCTCTCCGCACGAGAAAAACCAAACTCTCCGCACAGAGCGAAGAGAAAAACAAAAATCATCTCTCCGTATAGTACGAAGAGAAGAACAAAAACTCTCCGCACAGTGCGGAGAAATTGTTTGCCTTTGATATATAATATATATGTATACATTCAAACAAATAAAATGGCTTAACAAAAAAAAAAGAAAATCTCTCTGCACTGTGCTGAGAAATCAATTGATCTCTCCGAACTGTGCGGAGGAGAGATCAATTTTCTCTGCACAGTGCGGAGAGAAAAACCAAACTCTCTCTATATATATATATATATATATATATATATATATATATATATATATATATATTTCTACATAAAAAATAAATAAAATAACTTGAAAAAAAGAAGAAGAAGAAGATCTCTCCGCACAGTGCGAAGAGAAAAACCAAACTCTTTGCACAATGCGAAGAGAAAAACAAAAACTCTCTGCACTGTGCAGAGAGATATATGGCACTCTCTCTGCACAGTGCGAAATTATTAAACAATTCAAAATTAATAATTTAGTAAATAAAAAATTTAAATCAAAACAAAAGGGGGAAAAACCAAATACTCCGCATTGTGCAGAGCCACTCCACACTGTGTGGAGCAACTTCTCCGCACTGTGCAGAGCAAATTTTTTTCTTTTAGATTTTTTTTCTTTTGTTTTCTTTTGGATTGAAATTATTATTTACTAAATTATTATTTCTAACTTCTAATAAAAAGGGGAATGAGGGTCTACTATTCATGCAATAGTAAATTAATACAATTTTACTATGCATGATGTCATTTTTTATTTTCTATTTTGTTTATATCAAACAAATGTTCTTCCACACATGATCCCACTAGCATTAAAAAAATTATTATGTCAAACAAATATTCTTCCACACGTCATGCTACTAGCATTAAAAAAAAAAAATTTAGTAAACATAAAATGCTACGAGCATTTTTTGTTTTT